TGTAAAGAAGGAAAACCTCTCTGCAACAGACGTGGCTGTGGCTCCGTTCCATCATAGAGGGAAAACAGCTTGTGCATGTCTGATATATCTGTTGCCAAAGCTCGAAACCGGTGTCGAAGTTCGAAGGTCACGTTATCAGAGTTCATAAAATGATATCGTTTAAAATTTCTTTAACCACTTGCGCTTAAAAAGACGTGCCACACGCACGTCAGATGGCTTTTGTCTCAACCGCGAGCGACGTGAACACCACGTTGATAAGCATTTATCGCAAAAATGAAATAATGTGGTGCACGCGACGCCTAACAACGAGATTGTTAATTTCTCGAGTTACAGCTCTGGATTGCACTCGCAGATGTGGAGCGGCATAAATAGACACTTTACGGCTTGTTATATTGTAGCGCACGGCACCGCAACCGTGAAGTTTAGTCTTAGCGCAAGTGGTTAAACTCTAAAGGAAAAGAAAATATTTTTTTGCGCAAGTAAATTAATTCATGGATTAGTTATTTTCAGGGGGGGAAAGAAACTACGAAAATCCGTTTTTAAAATTATTGCGAAAAATCCAAGAAGAAACGTCCTTTGATAAAACGTTTCTTCTTGGATTTTTTTGCAATAATTTAAAAACGGATTTTCGTAGTTTTCTTTTTGTCAAAAAGCGTTTCTTCTTAACACGTGTTTCTCAATTTCTGTACACATCGCGGAGAGGGAAATTCTTCTGGCCGCCAGGTCCGTCGCCAAATCCCTTGGCAAATTTTCCCTCCGCATTCTAGCGTCGTAATAGCATTTTACTTGTATGGAACCTTTTCTTCTTTACATAGACGTTCTTTGGTTAGATAATAATGGGATTTGGCGACATCTTGATGCGCAGTAAACGGGTCATTTTGGTCTTGGCGACAATTTTCAAAATCGTGCCAAAGCCTTACCGTATACTAGAATTTTACCGCCAAAGCCTTACCGTATACTAGAATTTTACCGCAAAATCTTTTTAAACCTTTTTTTTTTTTTTTTTTTTTTTCTTTTTAATAAATACCTTGCCACTTTGCAGTAAAATAAAAAAATAGTAATCATCATCTAGGCTAGCCATGTAATATAACTATATTCCCTAAAATATCGTTGATTATTCTAATTCAATTTTTAAATAATTATTTTTATGTTATTCATATAATTTAATGTTGCTTCTTCCCTCTAAATTTATTTATCATTAGTAAATAATATTTCCAAATTGCAGGAAATTTTCTCTGGCATAATCCTGAAATTAATTATAGCAGTATGATGACATACCATCACGAAATTTAATGCACATAGTTTTTCCTTATGTATGCTGCAAAATAAATATAAAATACCTCAATTTATTAAAATAGATTTCTTTCTTTCGTTTAGCTGCAGAATGTCTGCAAAAAAAGCCTTATTTTATCCCAGATTGGGAAGATTCTAATCTCAATCTTCAGTGGAGAAAACAACAACTATTATAATTATATTTGTGTTTTCAAGTGTTAAGGTGCTTTTTTAAGAAATACCTCACGCAAATTAAATTTACCTAAAATCTAACTTAACTATTTAGCATTGCGTTGTGATTTATAAGGACCGGATTAGCCTCGTGTTAAACTGGTGATGATCATGAGTAATAATTAAATAAAACATACATTTGTTATCCAATATATATATCTTAAATTTTATTAAGTTTCTTAAGTGGAAAACTAAACAAAATTATCAAACAAAGTATACCAAGAATAAGTAAGAATAAATGTCCCTCTGGGATTTAGTGAATAATTAAGTGAATTTGCTACACAACACAAGTAATAATGCCATAATTAATTTACCTCTTGGCACAGCCAACATGCATTACGCGGATAGACTGGAATTTTCTTGAAACACACCTGGAAAACCTGGAAAAGTCAGGGAATTTCATTCTCCTGTTTGAGTGGCAACCCTGTTCATTTCTAAATTTTATAAAGTGTTAATCATTTTAACAATTTTATATAGATTTTTTAAAAGCACTAAAGCTAAAAACACAATTAGCCAATAAAAATATAAAACTGTATTAAAAAATAAATATTTGCTTTAAACTTTTTCTCATTAAAGTCTGCATGTTGCAATTTTGAATATCTTTTATGTTAGTGTAAGGAATATTACTTGCAAACAAACTATTTACATGCGCTTAAAATTATTATTGCATAAGGAAGAACAACATTGCCATCAGAATTGCTATGAAAACTGTCTGTCATCATCATGTCTGGCAAGAAAACTGAGAACTAAAAGAAACCACATTTTAAGTTATTGTGGTACATTGAAACTTTTTTCCCTTGTGTGTGGGGCCTTCTAAATAAGGGTGCGGTTTATATACCGTTAAATACAGTATCTGTAATGAAATTACATTTTCTTTGATACCCAATAAATGAGCCTCATTACTAACATAATGAAAAATTTAAACCATATTGTACTACAGCAACAGTAAGCATCCTTTTGCACCTATGATATGGAGCTGTATATCAGCAGTTTGATTTCACATTGTAAAAGTTTACATTTTGCAGGTTGCTAATTCACTATTCCGTCACGCTGATAGTAATAACTTTCTTTTAAATCAATTTAAAAATTGCAGTTGCCTGCCTAGTCATTAGATCTCAGGCCAACAGAAAATATTTGGACAATACTGAAATAGAAAATCAGCTTAAAGAGTTTGAGCTATAGAATAGTGTTAACTGAAGCTGTAATTTCATGCTGGTTTTATGTAATTCAAATGGATAACCTTAAACTTATAAGCAATATGCCCAAGTGGTATGTATTAGTAATTAAGAAAAACTTTTTTTCCAATTAAGTATTAATTACCTGCTTAACTTTAAACATGTTTGAAATTCATTGATTAATGTAAAATGTTTGAAATTTGGTTATTTTACTTTATTCTTTGAGTTTAAAAATTATTTATAGTTTACAAGAATTATACAAAAAAAATTGAATTAGTATTACAATTTCTTTCCATTTTTTCATGTGTAATATATCCATTAGCATATAAATAAATTTGTATAAAAGTATGGTTAAATTTTAAAAAATTCATGCCTTGATGATCTGTAACAAAATGCTTGCACCAAGTGCTGTATTTCTGCTCTTTATGGGCAATTAGCATAAAGGAAATCTTTATGAACAGTTAACACAAACACTTATTATGAATAATTAATTCACCAGTCATCTACAAAAAGTTATTCTCCAAATTGTTTTGCTGCACTCTCAAAATTTGTTTTGAGAGTGTAGCAAACCATAACACAAGGAGCATCACTATCATATAAATAATCTGTTTGAGATATGCCAGATAGAACTACTGCAAACCATCAGTTTTCTTTATGTATCTTAAGACTTGAAAGTTGATTTAGTGAAAGAATGAAACTAATGCTTATAAAAGAATTATTATTACTTGCTTCAAACATTTTCTCATTAAAGTCTGCATGTTGCAATTTTGAATATCTTTTATGTTAGTGTAAGGAATATTACTTGCAAACAAAATATTTACATTTGCTTAAAATTAATATTGCATAAGAAAGAATAACATTGCCATCAGAATTGCTATGAAAACTGTCATCATTTGGCAATTAATATATGTGTCAATAGCTTCAATTTTTCTGAAAATTTTGGGGATCAGCACAGAAAGAGAAAGCCAAGGGAAGTTACAATGCAAAATGATAAAAGTCTCTTTTAATATATCTGTTCTGACAAAAACTTTAGCCTATACTTAAATCATTTAATTTATTAAAACTTGTTTAAAATTCATTTTCAATAAATTTATCTTGAATTTTATTCAGAATTCATATGCATTTATAACTGCTTTCTAAATATGATATGCATTGGAAAGCTAGTTCAATTAGTCTAACATCATTCAGTTTTACTGAGTTGGGAGAATCTTTTCATGTGCATAAGGTAATTTTGCACATGTAGTAGTTTTTTTAACTGAAATCTTTGTTTGTATGTGTATAGGCCTGCCTTATAATATATATGTATACAGGATGGTCATAAAAACTTCCCCTATATATGAGCCCCTAGCCATCTATCCACTCAACCAATTGAAGTGAAATTTCAGATATTGTTATTTGAAGGTATATACTTGAGCTTGGGATGATTTAAAACAATAGAGCTTTCACAGTTACTGTGGAAAAATTTCGAAATTTTTGAATAACAACACCCTTTTTCCTTTGGCAAATTGATTGAATAACTATACATGGTGTTGAAACAACACATTATGATGAAAATTTTTTATGTAAAACATTTGCCAAGAAAAAGACATTATAAACATCCAGTGACAACTCAAGAGAGGAGAGGAAAACTTTTATTGGAATTGTATGTTTTCTAAATAAAGTCATCTCCTGCAGCTTTGCAGTTTCGTGGCCATCACGATCCCCCGGCTTCATTCTGATGTTATCCGAACTCTAAGATGTATACACTAAATCCATGAGATTTCTCTGAATTGAAAGATGCCATTAAGCGTGAAGTTGTACTGATTCTTTCTGCGATGTTCGTTCATCGTTGTTATCAACGGTCTCCCAAATGTAATGTGTTATTGTCTGTAAATACTGGCATTGAAAGCTTATAATTGCAGTAAAAGTTTTTTTCCGCTTCTTTTCTCTTGTATTGCTGTTCTTCTTTTACAGTACTGTTGTTTGCAAATGTTACACCACTAGCTTTCGTCATATGTGTATCGTTCCAACACAGTTTTTGTTTTTACAATGCTCTGATCGATTAACTCAGCAAGAAGGTGGGTTATGTCATTCGAAAATTTTAAAATCATTTAACCGTAACTGTGAGAACTCTATTGTTTTAAATCCTCAAAATCTTGAGTACATACATTTAAATAACATCTGAAATTTCATTTCATTTCATTTGGTTAAGCAGGTCGCTAGGGATTCACATATTGAGGAAGTGTTTTATATGTATATATATATATATATATATTGCCCCCCCCTTGTTATACATGGATGTGGATGAGTCAGATTTTTATATTAATATTATTTATTTTCCAGGATATTGAAACATCTTTGCTAAATAAAGTCAGAAATGATAGCTCTCTACTTCAAAAACGCAGTGAAGTATTGCAGACCGTTACTCTGAAATCAACAAATACTGTTAATGAGTCTGAAAAGGCTATTAACGAAGCAGCAGCAAAACTTAAAAATGAAATATTTAAAAGAGATCTTGAATTTGAGAAATTCATTGCAGAAGACTTAGTTAAAGATGTTTCTACAGGTGTGTATGTAATTTTTTTAATTAAAAGGCTAAATATCATGCTTGTTAAAATTAATGATATAATTATATCATTTCACAACAATGAAACAAATTAGGGATAAATTATTTATTCACTTATAAAAGTTGGTTGATTAGCCGTGATGAATTACCATCCACCACATTTCAATGCAAATGCCACTGTAGTGACCGTCAGTAGGATATTTAGCGTGGGAAACCTTGAAAAAATAACCATGCCCTCATCAGGAATTGAATCTGTGACATTGTAATTGCTAGTTGGGTGTGCTGATAGTATCACCATAAGCATACACGAGAAGAATGCCTTTAATTCCTTACAATTCTATATAATTCCTCTTTACTTTATTTGTGCTTACAACTTATTTTTGGTAATACCTGCATTAAGACATACTTCTGGTAATGTGTTTACATATATATATATACGTATTTAGTTACTAAGATTACAAGCTTTAAATTATTTTGATCTCATTTAGTAATAAATATTAATGTTTGGTAAAGTAATTTTTAAACTATTGATATATTGTAATTATTATTTGTTCAGGAACAACACCTGTGCGAAAAACATATGTTTATCCAAAGATGCTTGTTGCAACATCTCCTCATGACCGCATACTACAGAGGTTTCACGCACAATTGGCGGCTGACACCGCAGTTGCAGTAAACTTGCCTTTAGATTCAAGTTTAAATGTAAGAATTTTTCTGATTTATATCTCTTTATTTTCATATGATAAATTTGATTTTTTATCAATAAGCACATTTATCTATGTAATTTTGTATAATCTAAATATTTCTAAACTTTATCTAACAAGATATATTTAAAAAAATTCCCCCATAAGGATAAATATTGATAGCACTGTCATTCTATAATTTACAGTGATATTGCAGCATATTTGTTTTTGTAGATTTATGTATGTATAATTTGGCTTGCGCATAATATTGTATAACTGTTTTATGAATGTTTTGGAACAGCAGAATACTGTGCCTCAGAAAAACTGGCTAACATGCTTTTTTCATTTATTCTCTTTCAACAAGAATTAAAATTTGTCCTGTGTTTTTAATTCATAATTGCAAATGCCATTTAGTAAGGTATCAAAAATCAAATATTTGTTATCCAAATGAATAAATTTTCCTTGAAGACAACAATTGATCCAAAAGACTGAAAAATATATAGTCAAGAACTTAACTGAATTATTTGCTATTCTTCATATAAAATTAAATTTATAGGTTTAATATTTCAATGTGTACCATGTAGAATGATTAGCAGCTTTTCATCATCCTATCATATTTTAAAACTTTTTGACTTTTCATCATCTTATAATTTTTTTTTTTAACTTTTTCATCATAATGTGTCGTTTCCACACCATGATTTTCTGGTATTATGTTCCGTTCTAGTAGCAGCAACTCTTTTCAGGCTTTTGTTGTTAGTCCAAAGGGGCAATCTGCCCTGAAGGACTATTAATTTTGTTTTGGCATTTTGCAAAGAAAACTTTAAAAGGCTGTATCACTTTTCAAATTGTTGCCACCATATATTATCGCCCTGTCTTATATTTAAAGAAATCAAATAATGAAGAATTTGCATAAATGTATATATGTTTTTCTATTTCTTGCATTGTGATTAAACAATGGTACCTAGAGCCATCAAAATTTGAATAACGTAATATTCCATAGAATATGGGTATGTGGAAGTCCTGATTTGAGTTTGAAATTTGTTTTATTATTGATTTCAGATTTTGTAACAACTCAGTGAATTTTTGATTAAAAAACTGAATGATTTCAAAGCGAGCAATGTCAACACTGTACGAAAAAACATAAATATCTCCAGCGTGCGAGACTCTGTATCGGAAATTCTAAAGATGTGCTCATTTTAAAATTAATTTGCAATATTGCTGTTGAACCGAATTTCATAGTTTGAGTACATAGAACATGATATTTAATAAATAAAGGTAACACACAAAACGTCGGGGGGGGGATGCATCTTTGAAAAAGAAAGAGAGAAAGATTTCTTTCTTTTCTCTGTCTCTCTCTCTCTCTTTTTATTTTATTTATTTATTTATTTATTTATTTATTTATTTTATTTATTTATTTATTTATTTTTTTTTTTAGCAGCAGCAAACCCATTAATACAAAGAAAAAGTTTCACACACTTTTGTAAAGACATGACCCACCATATCACTGTGTAAATTAAACCTTTAGAAAATGCAATTAATTTCATTTTGGAGAAAATGTTTTTTTACACACATTCACAAGCTACAAATTGAAAATTTTGCCTCTAAAGTGTGAGAAGGGAGGTGGAGAATGATTTCTGCAATTTTTTAAAATATGGTGAAGATTGATGCTTTTGAACTAGTTTCTTTAAGACAAATGCATTTCTATTCAACTGAAATATTTTATTACATTAACAAAAGACCTGTCAAAAAAAATGCTTGTATTTGGTGATAGAGCAATATTTCACTTTGTTACAATATTATTCTATATTATTTTATTTTTTTGTATATCTGCTTGCAGTTTTAGAGTATATTAAATATTGAGATAATTTGAATACCTCTGTTTTAAAAAAAAATTGCCTCCATGTTTAATATATTCTTAACTGTATTTGCTTTTATAGTTTTCTTACATTTTTTTTAGTCAACTGGTATATAGTTATTGCAACAACACTCAGTCCAGTTTCATGACCTTCATATGCATTGACAAATTTAATTTAAAATAAAGGTTAGCTGATTCATTGTTAAGGTCAAACAATTTGTCTGTGATGAGTTATTCATATGGCTAGAAACAATTTTATAAATTGCATTGGTGGTAAATGTAAAAATTATCAGTTTATATTTATTATCAGATAGATATGTTGCAAAAAAATGTGAGGAAATATTAACATTATATTAAAGTCTATCAATTTATTGCCTGAGGTATGCCATATGAATTATAATTTAAAAGATAAAATAAAGATTTTCATCCAGGAATGACAATGGTAATTTGCCAGTCCGTGAGGTTGATTAAAACATTAGTAACGTAATACAGCATAGTAGAAAAGAGAAATTGGAAAGAATAGATTATAGGCATTTCTGACATCAAAATTTATATAATCTGATTGCCTCATTCATTTTATATAGAGAACACAACGGTCTGAGAAAATTCCCATTATTAATATCTTTCCACAATTATTAAGGGTAAACAATATAATAGTTGAAATATGAGAAAATGATTATCTGTACAGGATAGTAAAAGAGAAATAAATTCCATGAAAACCAAACATAATAATTACAATTAAATACGTGCTTGTTAATATGTTTTATAACAAATAGTATATGGTAACTTAAAAATGTGTACATAAAGAAAATGAAGGCATCAAAATGGTGGAAACCAACTTGGGATCTCTTGGCTGCATTCTTAGTATATCTTTTCTAGATAAAGTTACTGCATCTTCACTTTAGTTAAAAAATGAGTTAGTATCCCAGTGTAATTCTAATTTATTTTAAAAAGTGTGAATTGAATAATGTTGTTATGAATTTTATATAATGTAACATGAATGGCTCCAGGAAAAGTGAAGCTTTACCAGAAAAGTAAGGTTACAGGGGCAAGTCTACTTAACATTGTGGTTAATGGCTATCTTGCTAAATTGATGAGATTTCTCCAAGCTGATGATACATTTTTCGTTTCCAGATTTGCTGAGAAATCGCCAAACGTGGCAACATTTTGGTCCAGTCCCTGTTATTTATCCCTATATGTAAATGTAAGTGCATCCATCCCTTACATGTATTTAACTGTATATGCCTACCAGTAATTTTGAGAAATGGAAGGTACTGGAGATTTTTCAGCTGCTGGGAGGAAAACTATACAAGACTGGAGAGCGCATCAGTTCTCAGTTTTTAGTTTAGAGTTGACTTTGGAGAATTGAGAGATCTGTATGTGAGTTTTGCTCTTTAGATGCACTTTGCATTGTGTTGTGTTTAATGTTCTTAATAGTTTGAGGTGGTAATTACTGATTCTGCTCCATCCTACTAAGTTGTATGAGTACTTCTGTAGAAAGTTCCAGAATTCTAAAGTGTTTCTTTTGGGAAAATAAGTTTTATCAAGCGATCATCGATTTTATGTGCATTCAATCTATTACTAACCTGTACGCACTCAACAGTATTATGTAAAAGTTAAACTTTTGTTACAAGTCTTTATATTAATTGTTCATAATCTCAGAGCTGTATCAGTTTTTTTTTTTCTTATTTTAAAAACATACTTACACATGCTATTTTCCTGTGCGACCCATATTACGAGACAGATTTCTTATCACATGAAAATCGCTAGAGCCGTGCGCGGAAGGTTAAGACATTCAGTAATAATTACTGATGGAAGATTTATTCATTTCTAACAAAAGGTTCATATGTGTTAATTCAAAAAATGAAAGCTTTTATTAATACCAAAAATCCAATACAGGGATTTTAGTGCACTAAATGTAAACTAGAATCTTGCAATAATTTTGATTAAATGTTAAACATACATCTGTTTGGGGTAATTTGTATCATAAAATAGAATTTTTAAAATTCATATTCTAGATGGGCCTCCTGAACTCTGTATCTACTATGTCATTGTCTGTACTTTTTGTATGATTATTATCAGATATGCAGAGAGTGATAAAAAGTATGATGTATATGGTACCATGATAGGAGTAAGTTACATATTCACTTAATCATACATAGGTCACATTTATTTGTTAATTAAGCAGAATTCACTCGAAACTCATGTGTTGCTTGAGGGGGGGAGACTTGCATGCTGCGTTAGCTTGATAAAACTATATGTGGATTTTGTAAATACAGTACAAAGTCTGTAATCCGGACATCCATAATCTGGAATGATCTATAATCCGGACTTCAAAGCTACAAACTTTATGCGCATGCGTTTACGTATGCACGTTTAATGTATAACGGATGTATAAGCTAGGCTAAAATTATCTCAGGCATTTCAGTTAATGTTACAGATTGTGCTGTTCCTTAATCTTCTAACTGGATCTGGCTTATTATTTTTTTGCAGACTGTTAGAATAATTTTTTAAAAATTAAGCTTGAACTTTCGATTATGTCAAAAAGAGTTTCCAATTCTGGAGCTGCCAAAGGATCTACAAAATGAAAGCATGTTTCGATGTCCATTAAACAAAAAGTGGAATTACTGCAAAAAAAACGGATAAAGGCTTATCCGTCTCAAAATTATGCGAGAAGTATGGCATTGGAAAGTCCATTATATATATGACACAAGAAAAGGGAACATTTTGAATTTTTTGTAGAAGCATCTTAAACAACTTACATTGAAAGAAATGTTTAATAAAGTAAACAAATAAATATTAAGCTTTCTCTTTGTAAATTTTGATACCCTTTAGATCATAATTGTTCTTTATTTCATAAATTACGATTTCATATTTAATGTATCATTTCTGCATGCCATCTTACCAGATTTAAATTGATGATCTATAATCCGGAAAAAAACCTAATCCAGAATCACCGAAGTCCCTATGAGCCCGGATTACGGACTTTGTACTGTATCAATAATTTACCAGCTAAAAAGAGATGTTGAAGCTAAGTGGTCAAAGATTTTGAATTTAAGAAAATAACATTTTTAATTATTTGTTTTTCTAATATCATTACAGGAAAGTGAAGAGCTGAAAAACACAGATAATGATGTAAGTCCTGAAGTTACAAACCTGAATTCATCTGTAAGTGAAGATTCTAGCTGCGAAACTGACTCTTCAGTTGCCTCTTCTGTAGTAAGTATACTATACATTTTGAAAAAAAATGTACTTTATTTACTTGAAAATAAGACCCCCACCCATTTTTCTGTGTTTTTGCTCTAAAATCTGGTATGGGCTCTAAAACGGTATTTTAATAAATAAAATTTGGATTGAGAGTAATTAGTTTAATTATTTAATTTAAACCCTCTTTCCAGTTGCTCAGACACCGTGTTTCCTCCTTCTCATACATATGTAACTTGAAAATTTCTATTCTTAAATTTTCAATGCCCCAAATTTATCTAATCCATGTGCAATCAAGAATTCCCCTCATGAGATAGCATACAAAAATGCCAATAATGTTAAAGAAGGGAATTCTTAGCATGCATATGAATTTGCTAAATTTGGGTATTGAAAATTTAAGAATAGAAATTTTTAAGTTATATGTGCATGACAAGGATGATATAAGCTAATTCACCTGATGACTGAGCATTATTTTGCTAGCTTTCCAGCTGTCATTTTTCTTTAAATTTTCATTTAATTAGCATTTCAATTTTTGCTTTTCAACTGAATTTGCTTTTCTACAACTATTAGCTATTGCTTGAAAGATGGTATTTCTTTAATCCATCTTTTACTTTTCCTTTATTTAAAAATTCTTTGCAATAAATACTTTTCTAATTTTAATTTTTAGTTTCTTTATTTTCTTATGACTTAGTTGATTGGAATGATTGTAGACTTCAAATTGTATTTTCTAGCTTTGACTTAATTGGCATTTTTGATAGGAGTATTCCTATCAAAGTTGGATTTCATTCATTTGATTATGTAAAATAATATACATATATGCATAAGCAAACCCCTGGATGTGAAAAATGAACCTTTTCATCCAGTTTCTTATGCATTTAATGTTATTTTATACTATTGTAATAAACCTCCAAGATCATGAAAATCGAATATAACAAGCAGTATTGATATCTTCGATGAAACTTTTACATTTTTTGGAAATGCTTACAAATTTTTAAAAAAACTAATTTTTAAATTTGCACGTATTTAAGATGTTAAGATTCACATTCCAAATATGCATGTATGTGCTAGAGATGACGATCTGTTCCAAAAATAATTCAAAGAGCCACTGACTGACTGATCTCCGATCCAGCAAAAATGCAGTGGCAGTTCCAAGCTCATGGAGAGCTCTTGTTGGGAAGCGTGCCAAAAATTTGATTCCTCTTATATAAACAATAAGATTCTTTCCTTTATTGTTTACTGAAAATGTGTCTGAGTTTTTTTATGTGTGTGTGTGCATATATGTGTTATGTATGTGCTTTTAGTTTGCATGCGTTCCATCTAGTATTTAAAAAACTAAACACTAAATAAACCGACCACACCGTTTTGAAAATAGATGAAGATTTTTTTTTCCCATTTGTCAGTGTAAGGATCTGTTTAAAGTATGTTATAGGTGCTCAGTCTCCTCCTCAGATTCTCAGCTGTGATCACTCAATGCTTTTTCTCTAGTTGCAGATCTGAGACTTTTGAAATGTTAATTATTAGCTCTTTTCATAGCTCATAGCTATGGATCTGATTCCTATGGAATCTTATCATTATATGCTCTTTCCATTGCTCCGGCATTCCTTCTCTAGCCGCAAATCTGTCTCCTACGGAGTCTTGATTATTTGCTCTTTTCGCTTCCTCGGATCTCTTGCTTTGAGTTTCATCTCAATTCTTCGAATACTGTATTATAGTATAGCTATGTAAATTAGACATTCCTTTCTTATACAATATTGTTATAACATTTATATAAAGTAATAAGTTACATTTTTATTTATTTACTCATTTTATTAACATCTTGTAGTCAAGAGCTGTGAATTTCCTTCAATCCTCTTTAGAATTAATATATATTTATAAACATAAATTTTCCCATCTAGTGCATTTTTTTCAAGGTTGTAGAACAAAAAGGCGGCCCTACCGCATAAAGAAATCTCAAATGATATTTGGTATCATTTTATGAAATTAGATACAAAAAAAGAAAAAGAAAATGTTGGTATTGTCAGCCAACAATTTTCCTGTTCTTTGGGATCCGCCTCCAATTTAAAAATTTATTTTTAATAATTAGCAATAAAATATGTAATCTTTATTTAACCACAAAAATGAGTTTAATTTTCATTATTTTTAAGCATATTCTTATTCCAGAATTTTATTGTTGTTCTATGTAGAAGGGTGTTTTTAGGGAGTCTCAAAAGTACAATTGAAAGAAATCAGTCCAGGAAATGAGCAGTTTTATTGAGTTGATTACACCAATCCCACTCCTTGTTCAATTCTTTCTGCTTTTCTCCTATCTTTGCACACTGCTCTTGATCCACGCCTGTTTCAAGCGCATTCATCAAGGTCATTGTTAGTGAGTGGTGAATCGTTAAAAAGAACTGATTCAGATTCATTTCAGTGGGTGAACGGATCATAAACATTTCAAAATTGAAAGAAAAACAATTTAATAAAAGTGATATCGAATATAAAAAAATAACCGAAACTTCCTTGGTCTTTTCCAAGGAGCCAAAGAAGTTTTCAGTAGAGCTACGTCTCTGAGTTATATCGAGATGATTGTTAAAAATGGAAACAAAAAAAAAAAAAAAAAAAAAAAAAAGGTGCGAGAAAAAGTAAATTTCCTGAATATTTTTTAATTATTAAGATAAATAATAAGAATTTTAAGTAATAATTAAAGCAGAACAGTTTCCAAATTTGGGAATAAAAATATGTAAAAATGGAAGGCTTATAAAATCTGAACCCTTTCTGTTTTTATTTTTATTATATTTTCAAAATTCAGCAAGTTGAATTTTTATATGAAAGCAGCATTCAAAAATCATGCACAATTCCAAATGATAGGTTTTGATACAAGGTACGTAGGGGTGTCAACTGAAAACCATAAAAGTAGAAATAAAAATCCGCATATGGCGCCAGTGAGCTGTAAGTTGGCATGCCTGTTTGCGATAATATGCCGGATGTCTCCTAGGTGGCAGATGCACAAACACCGGCACAACAACAGTTCCAAAATGGCAGCCCCACTAGCCACATGCACCAGCGAGGAGCAGCATTCTGTGATTCGGTTTTTGCAAAGTGAAGGTGTGAAACCAGTTGACATTTTTAGGCAAATGAAGGTTCAGTATGGAGATGCGTGTTTGTCACAGCCACAAATTTATGAATGGTGCCGGAAATTTGCAAATGGTGTTACGTCCGTGGCCGATGCTCCACGCCCTGGCCAGGCTCGGCGCGTAGTGACTCAGAGATCATTTCAGCCGTTGAAGCCATTGTTTTAGAAAACCGCCGTGTGACAATAGACGAAATTGCAGCATGTGTACACATGAGTCATGGATCGGCAAATCATATTGTGCATGATGTTCTCCAGTTTCATAAGGTGTCTGCAAGATGGGTGCCCCGACAACTGACGCCTGAACTGAAACAGCGATGTGTTGATGCGTGCGAAGACCTTTTGTGGTGTGCTGAACGTGACGGTAATGCCTTCCTGTCACGAATCATCACTGGTGATGAAACATGGGTGCATTACCATCAGCCTAAAACAAAGTGAGCGAGCAAGGAGTGGCGTCACTCCTCATCACCAAAACCCAAAAAGTTTCGGACACAGCCGTCTGCAGGGAAGGTTATGCTGACCCTCTTTTGGGACGAAAAGGGCATCATCTTGGAACACTACATGCTACGAGGAACCTCTGTGACGAGTGCTACATACTCGGACCTCCTAAAAAACCATCTCCGGCCTGCCATCAAAACGAAACGATGTCAACCGGAAACGATGTGAAACTGTCAGCCGGTATGCTGCTGCAACACGACAATGCACGGTCCCATACGGCGCGTGCAACGTTTGCGACCATCGCAGACCTGAAATTTAAATACCTCCCACATCCCCCTTACTCGCCAGACCTCGCACCGAGCGATTTCCATCTGTTTGGTCCTCTCAAAGAAGCAATGGGCTGCAGGAAGTTCCACTCCGATGAAGAGGTACGCAACACGGTGCACGAGTGGTTGCGCCGTCGCCCAAAAGACTTTTTGTCTGCAGGTATTCAGGCTCTTCCGAAGCACTGGCGGACTTGCATTGAATGAGGAGGGAACTATGTTGAAAAGTGATTTACTTCTGTACTCTGTGTGACCAATAAATAATATTTAAACAAATAATTATGGTTTTCATTTGACTCCCCCTCGTAGATCTAACAAGTGCAAATAAACAGGTTTTATAGTCATACATTAGTTTGTCTCCATCTGTATAACAATAAGAACTGTGTAGCTGTGCATTCAGCTAACCAACTACAGGGATTGACTCAAAGATATACCAGAAATACCAACTCGATAGGAAAAAATGGAAGTCTCATTATACTAAAGCATTGTCAGCTGGAAAATTAAATTTATTAATTTTACTGATGTAGGAAATTCTCCCACCTTGCCCCAGTAATGTGGTCTGCCATATAAGCATGTGGTTAAAAAGCTCCAATATGTTCATTCTATCTCTTTTCCCTTCAACAGCAATCACATGCATAAGCTCAATCTATATCTCTAAAGCCATAAGCACTTTATTCATAAAACATGACTGAAATGTATTCACAAGCCATGTAAAATTGCTTCAGAAACTAGATATGGCCTGCTAATTTGAGACTATAGACCTAAATCATCATAAAATATAATATTTTTAAATGCTTCTTCGACCTTAATTATAATATGGCTTTCTACTGTACTGTGACTTCTGCTTTGATAATCCCTCCTTGCATAGAGCAGTGCATTACTGACCAATGTGTTTTGAAACAAATTCTTTTAATAATTTGTGTCTGATTTGTAAAATATAAGTAATTGCTTCTGTCTTTTGCAGTCAGACGCCAGTGTAGATAGAAGTAAAAACAAAGAAAACTGTTATTTATCCAAGAAGAAATCTCGCCTTCCCAAGCGAATTCCAAAGAAAAAGGTTTTTGCAAAACCTGCACCAATCTCAGGACGAAAACCTTTAGTTTCATCAAACACCGAAAAAATTCCAATTGCTGAAGTATAAAAGATATATATTGACTAAATCGTGGACTGGTTTTTGTGAGGTTGCTATTATTTTTGTAACTGCTGCACAATTTCATTTTATCAAATTTTTAAAAGGCTGAAAAAATGTATATATTTTTTTCTATTTAATATTCATCAATGTGTCAAGTATTAAAACTTAAGATTTGTTAATACTTTTGTAAGGATGAGCATATAAATAAAATATTTTATTTAATTTATGTTTTTATCATAATATTGATTAATTATGCATACCCTTTTTAAACACTTGTATGATTATGATTCAAAATATGCAAAGGAAAAAAGATTTGAAAATACATTTAATAGATGAATAGTTAAAAAAGTGTTTAATTAGTAATAAGTGCCTTATTGTATGATTTTATAAGTTACATCTAAAATGGAAAAAAAGAATACATATATATATTGAATGCCCTCTTTTATATATATTATACAGCTTTCCTGGCATGCTAGTGATGATACAAAAGACAAGAAAGGAAGGACACAAACAGGGTGAGAAAACATGTTTATTATGCTTAGCTCAGCTAGATCAGTGGTCATCAAACCTTAATACTTCACGGACCATTACATATATAATTTTATATTTGGTGGACCATTATATGGAGGGGGAACATCTTAAATCGGACCTTAAAAACAACAAACTAATATGCAAAAACAATATTCAACTTTCCAATACATAAAATTCTAATTTTCATTTGGTAATATAATTTTCGAAACATTTGGTGTTCAGCAGCACGCCTTTATGGAAATTCAGGCTACGCCTCTGATTATGAGTAACAATTAAAACACTATTAACATCTCACTGATACACATATTTTGTTCACATTGAAAAATTATAAAAAGTACAAAAGTCTTACCTTCTTGTACATAAAGCTTTCAATATCATTGAAAAGGAACTTCATGAAAAGCAAGAAGAAACCCGCAAACGCAGAGCAATGTCAGTAAACTGAAAGTGTTATGCTGTCAATTTTTAATTATTATAAACATAATAATCATCACTTACTCGACAATGGCGCCATCGATCAACGGTTAGACAAAACAAAACAGAAGCTTCCAGTGATGCAATTATAAACAAGAATGCAGATGGTTTTCATAAAAGCCCATCAAGCTACCTACTGACATGGAGAAAAACTGTGTTATTAATGACTACATTAGCATATGTTTGTAATTCAAAAGGAAAAAGAATTCCAGTTCGCACTATTATCGATAACAGCAGCATATCTATGGATGCCAACTCTCACTTTCAAATGTTGCTAGATACACCTGCAAAAGGAGCTAAAAAGTCACTAAACTCAGAATAAATTTTGCTAAAAGTAGCAGCTAAATTTTAAAAAAGAGAAAAAAAGTATAATCCATATTCCATAATAGGTTTTTGTTACTTGTCATTTTTTAAACTGAATCTTCATAAAAATATAAATAATGTCTCAAATTTTCTGTGGACCGACGACTGCTGAGCTTGAATGTTGGGATGGCCTTGACTGGTGTACGAGGTAGATGACGCTACATACACCGAAACAGGAGATGACATAGCGTGTGTGCAGTATTTGCAGCCACACTTACTATAAAGCTTCATTTCACCTGAGAGTGGAAGTAGGATGGCAGGTAACACGAAGCACGGTGTTATAGTACAATCAAATACTGAAAATCTGCGTTGCCTCTCAAAATGTAAACATTCAATTTATAGGTTCCGAAAACCGCAACATGGAGTCCGAAATACCAAAGGGGAAATAGTTACCGAATAATGACATCATAATTTGCGAATAATAATAAGTCATAACGGAAATACCGAATTATTGACATCATAAGTTTTTCCCCCCTCCAATCTGCACTGAGGTAAAAAAGCAGACTATTCACTCAACTCTCTTTCAAGTTCATGATTCATGTTGTTGTATTTTCTGAGCTTTGTTATTTCATGAGATCATATAGTGCTGCCATTTTTTTTAATCCAGATATTTTGTGGATAAATTGAGAATATTTTAAATTTCAGTGCTTTTTAATTACAATGACAGATAAGAAACACACTCATGATTTTACTGCTTGCAATGTTGAAAAATGTAAACATGTTGCATTGATGTTAATGCAAAAGTGGAAATTTTACAAAAGATGGAGGCAGGTGCTACTCCTCGGTTTATAGCAGAATTGTATGGAATTTACGATATGGATCGTGTATGATATAAAAATAAAGAAAAGCTGTAGAAATTTTACATAACAGTGATCGTAACACTGGAAATCTTTGCAGGAGGCGAAATCGGCAAGTCTCGGTGCTGTCTTGTACGAGTGGTTCCGGGAGAGGCGGAATGATGGAGTACCCATCTCAGGACTGCTTCTGAGACAAAACGGAAAGCAGATTCTTGTTAATTTAAAAATAGAGGAGCCGTGTGATTTCAGCAGCAGTTAGCTGAACAGATTTAAGCAGAGACACGGTATAAGTTATCTGAAAGTATGTGGGGGGAAACTTTCAACAGATAAAGATGCTGCAAAGGAGTTTATTAACGGATTTTCTGTGTGAGGGGCAGAACAGGATTTTAATATGGACGAGAGCGGACTTTTTTGGCGATGTTTGCCAAGAAAGACATTTGTGACAAGCGAAGAAAGTGCACCATCAGGGGTGAAAGAAGCTAAAGAAAGAGTTGCCATTTTAGTAAGCAGCAATGCAGCTGAACTTACAAATGTAAACCAGTGATGGGTAAGAGCACCAATCAACGACTTCATATAACAGTTAGACGGCTCACCCACAGAGAATTCGTCTGCTAGGGTGTCTCCAACATATACCACATGACTAATGCTCTTGGTGCTCTTGGGGAGTGATAGCTTAGGCTGTTCATTGCCAGTTTGGCCCGCTTTTGATATGGCAGGTAGTACTTTTTATTTCCGTCTGCTAGCAGTCAGCAGACAACGGCCTCAAATTAGGTTGTTCGATTTTTTACAATTATCTTTAGATATAACTTAACTCCTTTTTTCCTGAATATTTTATCTATATTTTTAATAATTGCTTTAAATTATTTGCACCATTGTTTAAGATGTTTAGGTTAAATAATTTTAGGAATAAAATCTAAAATAAATAATAAAAAATTGAGATGGAAACTTTAATTTTGAATAACATTAAAAAATTAATTGCACTACTGTTATAATATTTGAGAAGGTAAAAAAATCTCGTTTAATTTTAATGCATTGCATCCTAAGAGAAAAGAAAATCACATTGTATTACATGTATTTATGCCATTGGTTGCCTCTCTTTTTTGAGATTATATTACTGGAACAAAATAATGCACTCTCTTTCTTGAGATTATATTACTGGAAAAAATAATGCAATCTTAATTACTGATTTTCCACACTCATGTGTATGTCATGGGGGGATCAATGCATCTTATTAACTATAAAAATTATTTTATATTGAATATGTATCAAACGGTAACAAACTTCAACTCATTATTTATTATTAGGATCTAAACGATATTACAGTTAAAAATTCTCTCACTCTCCTTTTCTTTTTTAAATACTATTTAAAATATGGTAAGTTTTTCACATCGCATTTTTTCAATTACAATAAATTTCTAACAGCATCGTAGATGAGACAGAATTATAATCCAGATTATTTTTATTTTAATTGATTTTATAGAAAATAATGATAAAGCATTGAGCTTTATAAAAGTAATCTGATTTTTAAAATAATGCTGTTTAACTGTTTATGTTCAATGTTGCATGAATCAAGATCTTTAGCTTTTTTTTTAACAAAGTAAACATATCGCACAATCTTTTCTCAATAATTAATGCTAATAATGGCGTTTTTTTTTTTTTTTATCGCAGGCAGTAATTGTTTATGAAATCAAAACGCGTACGACTTGGCGAAAAAAGGTTAACGCCAATTGGCGCAGCTTTCTATTTCAACGGAAGCACACGGAAAAAAAACATATAAAATTTCAATTATTTGTAAAGGGTGATTCCAGTAAATAGTGTCACAGTATTTTTAATACATTTTGATGCTAATAATACATGCTGAAAATGTCATATACGGCGGCAATTTTCTTATACAATATGGCCTGAAACTTTCCAACCAATACAACAGAGATAGTAAAAATGACAAAAAGTACTGAAAACAGAATAATAAATCATTGCAGTTTTAACTTTACCTATGAAAGGTTACAAGTCCTCCTTTCACGAAACTTTCTTTACATCCGTAGGCGCTGCAGCGAATAACCATTTTTGTTGGAAAATATAGCTTATTTTAAGCCTTTTACTGCATCATCCCTCCTCCTCGAAATGTTTATTTAGTTTAGTTCTTATTTTAATGTAATATAGTAGTTACTTCACTTCTTTTTCTTGCTGCCACTGTTTGCATTGAGAACGGACTGTTTCAACCTAATTAAGATGCAAAAACGAAAGTGATGTTACGTCATCTGAAAAGCCGATAGCTGATTGGTTGCCGTGAGATGACGTCATTCCTACTTCTGCTATAAGTATCTCGCGTCGCTCTGGCTCAACCGGTTCCTGCCGATAGACTGTATATTGCTAATTATCGCACCTACAGAGGTGATAGACTTTCACAAAGAAGAGGAGGAGCTGCAATTTTTGTTAAAAACTCTCTGCAATCCTGTCTTGTCTCGACAAACTGCTTCTGGATTCGAAAGTGTGACTGTTGCTGTTATACTCCCACAATTTGGTACCATCCATTTTACGGCTATTTATAATCCACCACGAAATCGACTTTCTGAAAATATGTTAAAAAACTTACTTCCTGAAGATCAGCAAGTTATTATTGCCGGAGACATGAATGCTAAGCACCTCGAATGGGGATGTCGTCGTTCTAACACCAATGGACGTATTATGCATAATTTTATCTGCAATCATCCTGTCGCATTACATGTACCTTCTGAAGCCACTTATCGTCCTGCCTCTCCAAATCTCTCGGACATCTTGGATATTATCCTTACAAATACTTCTATCCCTATTTCCTTGGAAGTCAAGGCAGAACTTACATCTGATCATGTACCTGTCATTGCTTCTCTTGGTGTTTCTAAAGAAGACCCTCCTATTACCAGAAAATAATACTGACTGGATTACTTTTCACAATATCTTAATCAAACATCCTCCTATTTTCACTTCACTTTCTACCAAACAGGATATCGATCTTGCCATTCATATCTTCACTGACAGTATACTGAAAGCTTTCAGAGATGCTACAGTTACCATTCAATTAAC